CAAAAATGTAACACCCTCGTTCTTTTTTCCATGAGTCACGTATCCAGTTTCATTCTCTGCTTCGATTCTTCGATTATTTCATTCCTTCTTCTTTATTCTTTCCTTCTCAATCTAAGTTGGACTATTCAACGGATGATTCAAATCTATACTTTATATTATCATACAATTTCATTTATTTATGTCTATTTTCAATTTAACAAATGGTATCATACTATACTCAACCGAATCGATTGATTCGATTTTAATTTGATTTTATAATCAGGTATGGAACCAATGATTCTATTTAAAAGATTCACATTGATGCCCAGTTCAATTCGTTTCGATTCTCTTCAAAACTATACCGCACCCACTCAAATATATTATTTATTTTTGGAAAAAAAGGATTGATAAATATTAAATATGTAAAACTTCGTCATAAATATAAGTTTTACAATGCTTTGATAAAGAGAAATGAAAATTCATTGAATATTTCATATTGCTAGATTTAAAACCATTTTTCCTATTTTTTACTATTTTACTCTTGATATTTATCGTATGTTAATATAAAAAAATTAAAGTATTATCATAACATTAAATATATAACCAAAAAAAAAATTTTGATATAAAAGGTTTATAGTTTAGATTTCATTTTAGTTCATTTTTGTAGTAATATTTTTAGATCAATTTTAATTTGTTCGTTTTCTAATGAGAAATTTAGATGAAACTTCCCAATTATGATGCAAATTGGAGATGCCAAGAATGCTACAAATAGCATTAAAAATAGAGTTTTTGCTACATGTACGTGTACGTTGTGGTTGAAAATTTTGACATTGCTTGATATGACAGCAATTATGATCATTGATTTTAACAACAATTATTGAAATTAATGGCACAATTTTCTAAATATCAGACAGTACCAAACTTAATGTACGAAAGGAATGTACTAATTTAATTGTTAAATATAACCTATGCTTTTGTACGTAAAAGGGGTTTTTCATTTTGTTACTAGATACTGGGACGAGCTTTGGGAGGAAATATTGGACGAGCAAGTTCAGGTTGGGACATTGGAATCACAAATGTCTATTTGCAATCATCAGCGACCTTCAGATCTTTGAAATTGCCCGCTTCGCTATCTATCATTGAGTGCCACAGGGACGAGGTTTGTACAACTGAAAATAATTTCATTTTTTTCCGACTTAAAAAAAGTAAATTACATTCATATCTATCGACACAAGCTGATAGTTCTACCCTAATGGGATAGGTTTTGGAGCTCCCTCCAAACGCCGAGGTGATGGCATGGTCAAACAAGACGGGGATAGAAATGTTTCGGTATGGAGATCATATTATGGGCATTCAAGGTCATCCCGAGTATACTAAGGATATCCTGTTGAACCTCATTAATCGACTTCTTAACCGTGATCTCATACAGGTAAAAACTAATTTAAATCCGGTAATCACAGTATTCGATTCTCCAAGTTTTAATATATTATTGATATTTTAACTGTATGATCTTACGTCCCTACTAGGAGTCTTTTGCTGAAGAAGCCAAGTCCAAGTTGGAGGGTAATGAGCCACATAAGGAGGCGTGGAAGAAACTGTGCATAGGCTTTCTCAAAGGGAGAATGTGATGGAAACTTAGAAAATGGAAATGAAATCTTGCACAGTTCGGGAAGAGAAGTTCAGCATTATCACCGGGGTACTTATATCTTGAAACTAATTCGATTTGGTTACAAAATCGTGCTACTGAATGGATTATGTATTTTTAAACTTTTAAGGTCCATGATATTAAGCCCTCTTTGGCAACTATCACAATTGAGTTTTTTCAGGGAATTTTTTTTTTTTGAAATATTAAAGCATAAGAAAAAATTTTGGATTTACGTACAAAATATTTTATTATGAAAATGTGTGGCTGAAAATGAATTTCGAAAAAATAATAATAATAAGCAGAGTTCTTTTAGTGGTTGTCAACAGAGGCTAAAATGGAAACATGAAGATTCTAAAATTAATAAGATAAAATATGAATAACATGTACACAAATAAGTGCAAGTGTAATTCAACAAAGATGGAACAAGCTCTGCATCGTGATTATAGAATATATCAACGTAATAAAATGCGTTCGTAAAATTAGGCCATATCCATTTGAAGCAATTTAGAAAATACTGCACCATGTTCGCATTTTCAAACCATTATTTATTGAAAAAGTATCCCTAAGAAGTTCATGGTAATGATGTCCACCGACAAGAATATTCAAACTATAGTTTAAAAAGATTCACCAGAAATCAGAAAATAGATGTTGCATCAGAGCTTGTGAGGCAGAGATACCAAACTTAGGAGCTCATCATAGAACCAGAGTTTCTCCTACATTCTGCCAACATATCCATATAGAACTGACATTTGCTGATGTCGTTGCCATAGCCATTTAAGCACTGCAAGAAAATTAGAGACCAACAGATAAACATGAGAAACTTCACTTTGGCAATCAAAAAGTAAACTGATGTGGAGATGTTACACCGGTGGAAGATAAAGCAAAATACCAGAGCTTGGTATGTTCTCTAGGTCATAATATCCTATGATATCAGTTAATGTGCTAGAAATGTCAGATTCAACATCCTATGTACATTGGAATTTATTATGCTACCGCAAGTAGTTGTATCATAAGATACCATCTATTACAGAAAGCATTAGACTGAGGTTCTCCTAATCCACCCAAATCACATACAAGGGAATCATGTTCATGGCAGAGTGAACTTCAGTATTGTAGTTGTAGATGACATTTATTTTAGTTTAATTTTAATTTATTTTTTTTAAAATGTACTTCATTTAAAGTCATCAGATAGGAAATTTGTTTGTTGCTCAAGTTTCAGATCAGCTTCAATAAAATAAAGATTTTCAAAAAGGAAGGCAGAGGAGGAGACGTACATCTTGGAATGCCTTTGAATGCACGCTGCAAGCATCAGAGCCACCAATACTGTGTGCGGCAGGTGCTGGTGCAGCTGCTTCAGAAGCAACAGTTTCATGCTGGATTGTCCGAGGACCCATAACAGCATCCACAGCCCTGTGTGCCACTGCACTTCCAGTGCCAAAAGCCATTCCTATGGAATTTGAAGAAAAAAGGGAGATTCATTCTAATCTTTACCATTCATCCTGTAAGAAAGAATATAGGTAATTTTTGTGAAAAATTATCTTCTGTACCTTGGGCTATGGTTGAACCAATGTTTCCAAGCATGGATCCACCACTGCTGGCTTGAGCAGGAACTGGAGGAGGAGCATGATTTACTGCAACCATGAGACTCGGTGAGCTCCAAAGCAACATGCATAACAGTGTTAACAAAATTATATACCACGTGCAACATAATTACCTGGCTGAGGAACTTTTTTTTTTTCCCTTTTTAAAAGAGGAGAAGATTGAGTAGACTATGAGGTGGTGAAAAATAGTTTTAGGAGGAAACGACTCAATTCTCATACAACTCTTGGTCAATGGAATTACCTGGCTGAGGATGATTACGTGCTGGAGCAGGACGAGGAGCTGAACGTGCAGATCTTCCTGCAAAATTCATAGCAGAAGTAATGAGTATATGACTGCTCTAACATTGAAATCATTTCAATTGTAACATTAGCAGATAGAGCTGACAGAACCAATCATCCATGTCCATCGGTTAATTTTTCAGCAGTCCATTTGAGTAAATTAATTTATAATTTAGTTATAGATCTCAAGCACGTCTTACCCTAATCCAACTAAAACAGTAAACCTGGCTTTAGCTTGCAAACAGGGACAACAAGTATCATTATCAATAAATTGCAAATATCAGTTCCCACTCCCCCGGTCGCCTGACCCCTTTTTCACTAGAGAAGTAAAATCAGAGAAAAATCCAGAGTTTTCCAAGTCAACGATCTGAAATATGTCCACGGGACAAACTTAGATGCAAAAAATAATAATAATAATAAATAAAAAGTATCGGGGATTGCAAGAACTGAATCACTCTCTTAGATCACACAATACCAAGACAAGTTAAAAGTAATAGAAAACTCCCAAGTCTCGTTCATAAAGTGAATCAGGTATAAGAACCCAATATCTCGTGAAAGTCTATTCAGACAAATACAAAATGACCAATATTCAGGAACGCTTTTCTCTAAAAATAATCAATTTGGCTGCATCCCTAAACAATAAGACTTTGATGCACATTTGTCTGAATATTTCAAAAATCCAAAAACATTAGCAGTTCATCACAAGGATCGATTAAATTCTACGCCAAGCAAAATCATTCAAGAATGACAGCATTCAAAACCCTGGAGCCGGTATACCCCCAATCAAGGAAGTCAGAAAAAACCTGCGCACATAGGCATTAGATGACAGTAATACTGGTCTATATTCCGTCAAACAAAATGAAAAAGAAACAATTTGTTGTATCTTCGAAGTCAAACAGAAACAGGTAAAACGAGTAAAACCGGAAAAAACATTTAGATCTGAAAATATCTTGTCATACTGACGGAAAATGAAGAAAGAAAACCGATAACTCACCACCGGAGCTACGGCGAGCCATTATTAAAGAGGCGGCGAATAAACCCTAGAGAGAGAAAGTAGAAAGAGAAATTAGCAGAGCTTTGTGCCTCTGCAAAAACGCCGTGGAAATTTATGGGAAGTATGTGGAAATGGATTTTATGATCAGATGTTGCGTTGTTCAGTGAGCTCGTGACGTGTTGGGATCTTATTGGTTGCAAGACCTTTTAATCTATTTACCAATAGAATATCTTATCTTCTAGGACTATGCTACGTATACATAATCATTTACACACGATTTTACACTCCTCTGTCCTCTCACATGGGGAGAGACTCACGCACAATAAAATATGTGTGAACCACCGTCCATGTAAGGAGTGTAAGGCTATATGTGTACTTTGAAGTGTACATATAGCATTATTCTATTTTCTTTTTATCCGATATGACTTTTGGAAGTGCTCATGTGAAAGAGAAAGCAACAAATATATTTAGCTAACGCTCTGTATAGATTAAAATTAAATTTTTAACGGATTTTGATAAAAAGTTGGTAAAATATATGGTTAAAAATTGTGAATTCTATTCATGATCGATTTTGCAAAGAGATGAGTGAGGCTCGCTCCTCAAACCCAATATTAGAGGGGCATCAAATTTTAGCCTATTTTCATTCTTTCTTTCTTTTTTTTGGATAAATTAGGTTTATTACGATATTTTTTTTATCAAAACTTTGATAAATTAGATCAACTCTATTTCATTTATAAATAAGGTTCAATAACATTTTTTCATTGTGGGAATTTCATTTTAAAATTAGATCCTTTTCGAATACAGCAAAAGGGGACAAGCGGCATAGGATTTTTCAAACTCGTATTTCAGTGATTTCTTAATTCTACCCAACTTGTTCATCGCATAGGTAGTATTCAATTTATTTATTTGAAATAAGAGACAGTTTACTAGATTTAGCAAAAATTAACGAAGATCCTTAAACAAATAATAAAGTCGAGTCCTTAGCGATATATGAATTTCAAAATTTTGAATTCTTACTTAGTATAATAATTTGGTTCAGGTTGTTGCATACAATCAATATTATGAGTAAATTTCTTCAAATCGAAAATATGGATATTGATGGTGCTATCGACCTCCTCCAAGGAATTGTTTCACTTCTCGAAAATTATAAAAAAATTGAATTTGCTATTATCATGGATAAACTAATAAAATGAGTAAGTAAAATGAGTATTAAAGATGCATTATGATAAAAATGTATAATTTGAATAAAGAAACAATTTGACAAGGTAGTAGTAGTAATTAGGTAAATCAATCAGTTAAATAATTTTTTATAGTTGAATACTTTTTATAATTAACCAGGTTTTATCTTCTCTAAGATTAGGGTTCCGTTTGATTCTCATTTTTATCTAAATACATTTTTCTCTATCTTCTTTTTAATTACACGTTCTTCATTAAAATAATATTATACATAAAATAAAAAAAATTCCTTATTTTTTATCCACACATTCTCTATCAATCTACTATTCTAAAATTCATTTTTCTAGAAAAATGAGTGCCAAACACCCTCTATATTTGAACAATTTAAACAATATGAAGATATTTTTAGGTTTTTATTAAATTTAAAGAAGCTAAGGCATGCAATATCTTAAATTTGTTGAAGCCTTATATGAATCTTGCGAAGTATCGAGAACATAATGGACGTTCGAATATTAATGGAGATGATTTATGTTCTGAGTTACATGTCTTGAGATACTATATATTAAGTGAAGTAACGCGAATAATTGAAGTACTACAATATTTAAAAGACATTTCAAATGCTTATATTACTTAAAAAGTTTTGTTAAGCATATCCTATCTCCGATAAACCATATTACAAGAAAGATTGAATCAATTGAATATGTTATCAATCGTGAAATAAATGATTGAACGGGTAGATCATTCAAATTTTAACAATGTTTTTGCCTCTAAAATTACAAAATGAAAAGTATTTAACTGGTCGTTTGAAACATTGTCGGCTTTATTATTTGTATAATACATTTTATTTGTTATTTTATTGTTGAGTTTTAAATTAACAAGTGAATTATTGACTCCATAATGCACTTATAGATTTTGCATGTATATTAAAATTTTGGGGGATAATTTATGATGTTCGCCCTAAGCCTCGAAAATCACTGAAATGGCACTGATTTTATTTGCCCTTGTTTGGCCCCCATTTTAATGAAATTTTAAGAAATGGTAAATTTTTAAAGAATGTGTGGTTAAAAGAAAATTTATTTTACATGTAATATTATTTTATTGAAAAATGTATGGTTGAAATGAAAAGAGAGAAAATTGTATTAAATTTTAAAGGGGGCCAAGCAAGGGCAATATATGTTGTTAAAATAAATTGTTGACTTTAACTTAAATTTTAATCACATTTTTAGCCATACATACAGGGCATTAACGTAAATTTACTTAAATACTAAATAATTCAAATAAGTCATTCGTTTCAGAATAGTTCCTTTTTTTTTTTTTTTTTGAGAATATGTGATTAATAAACAAGTAAAAATTTTGAGTTTATATGTAAATTATTTTATGGGAGAATGTTTAGTTAAAAATGAATTTTGAAAAAATATATTTTTTTTGAAAAATGGAGCCTAAACAAGAACTTAAAATAGATATCTCCAAATATGTTTTATAAGTGTAAGTTATTTAGACCCTATTTGACCCACATTATTTATAAAAAAAAAAAATACATTTTTAAAAGTGATTTGATCATTTCAATCCCACATTCTTTAATAAAATAATATTATACGCAAATCAAAAAATTTCTTAATTTTAAACTACACATTTCCTATCAATACACTATTTAAAAATACATTCTTATTAAAATAATGTGGTTCAAACAAGGGTTTTGCCCATGTATGACAGCCATTTTTTGGAAAACAGAAAAGAAAAAATAATGTCTTGAATAGTGGTTTTTATGATAATGCATCGTTAAAAAATGGGGGAAAAATGAGTTCACTTTATAATATTTTATTACATTAATGTATAGTTAAAATTGAGTATATTAAAAATGTGTTTTCAAATAATGTTTATCAAATAAGAGCTTAATTGATTTCATGGCTTGAGAATCCTAATTTCTTAACAATCAGTTCAAAGAGTATTGGCCAGTAGCAGATGTGTCCATTTGTTAGAGCTTTTATTTTATTTATACCTTTTGTAGAAAAACTTTTTGAGAATCTCACATTAAGTTTGAGAATGACTGTTCAAATGTGAGTCAAACACGCGTTATATTTGTTGTATGAGATTGTTTGGTTTAGATTTTAAGTCAATTAAAATTAATTTTTTTATCGTTATTTTACTATTTCAATCATTATTTTTGAATTTTTCTTTTACAGATAGGATTCACTTTTTTTTTGACAATCAAAAAAATTAATTATCGAAATTCCTACCAAACAAGCACTATATAATAGCTATAATTCCTTCGGCCTTGAGCTTAATCCCAACTTTTTTATGTCAACTTTTCAGCAGAGTCCCTAATTTGGTTTTTTATATTGCGCAATAAAGTAAGATTTGATTTTATTGGTTGACAAAATTATAGTCATCGACCTCCTCAAAGATTGGTTCAATTTTAGCTTTGGATCTTACTTCATAACGGTCTTGTATTTTATTGGATTTGGATCATTGGAAATATTGTACTTTAAAATAGTTCCATAATTCCATGTTTTCAAAATTTTATTAATAAAGAAACTTAATTTATATAATTTTTTTTGTTTGTGTGATTGAAAATAAACCCTTGTTTGATATCCATTTTAATGAGTTTTAGAATAGTGAGTTTTTGCAGAACGTGTGGTTAAAAAATAGGAAAAAAATTGAGTTTACACACAAAATATTTTATTGTGTAAATGTGCTGTTAAAAATGAATTTAAGAAAAAATTTATTTGAATAAATGTCAAACAAGGGCAACGTTACTTGTAATAATATTTTTATGGAATCAAACAATCAAAAAGAGTACCATAGCAAGAAAAGCTTAAAATTGATCGTCTCAATCGCCCTAGAGTCTCCAAGCAAGACATAATAAGTCAATAATATGTTTTAGGTCTCCATTTAAAAAGGGAAAAAGAATTGATTATCAATCATGCATTTTAATAATAAAATATTTTACATGTAAACGTAAAAATCTTACTTTTTAACCATACTTTCTTTAAAAAAATCATCATCCCATAACTCATCTTCCCAAAAAAACTTTTTAATGGCATCAAACAGGAGTTAAATTGATCAATAATATTATTAAGCCCCCGTTTGACCCACATTATTATAAAAATGAGAATGAAAAATATAGTCGTTATGGGCTGATAAGTGTGTTTTTGCACACTTATTTAGATTACAAACATGACTTAAATACAAGCAAAATGATTGAATTGTGACTTAATCTCATTGAATTCATGCAATGTAGGTGTTTCTATGGAAATAGTGGAATTCAGGAGAAGAGAGCCGAAAAAGGACTAAAATGGAGCAAAGTGATAGTTCAGGGACTAAGGATGCAAATATTCGAAAGTTGAACTAAAAGACAACTCGGGAATGCAAATATGCTAAGTATGAACTCGAAAGCAATACAAGATGATTGGAAGAAGAAGGAATTGCAAAGGGACTAAAATGAATTAAACTGAAAGTTCGGGGACCAAGTTGCAAATAATTCATAGATGAGACGGGAAATGGAATGAAGATTCAAGAGTGTTAGAGGTCAATCGGATGAGGAAAGGAGTCACGAGGTGAAATAGGGTCGAAGTATTATCAAGTATCAACTTTCAGGCGAAAAAGATATGCTCGTGATTTTTAGTATCTACTTGAGATCCATTTTTGACATAGTAAACATCAGAATTTGAGGAAGCCTATTTCTATCAAAAGTGTATATCTTTGAGTTTTATTCACAATTAACTTTGAATCACTTCAATCGGAGATCAGTAGAGAAAGTTATGACCAAAATACTAAACACTGTCCAGCGGAAAGAATTGTATAACTATGCGGTCGCATAGTATAAATTCTATGCGGTCACATAGAAGCCTCCCGAGAACTTTTTCTCAAATTTTTTTACTCTATACGACAGCATAGAAATGTACTATGCGGTCGCATAGGTATAATCTGGGGGCCGTTTTGCAGTTT